TCTCCTTGAGAAACGCACAAAAAAGAAAGCGAGAAAAACCTCTTACCCATTAACGGAATCCCCCTCAAAATTTGTTCTTCCTTCTCCTCTGTTTTCATTCACATTTAAGAATTGCACTCCTGAAAACAGATAATTGTAATTGGATAAGTACTCACTTTGGTAGCTAAAAGAAATCAAATCCAACTAGATCACGCCTTTTTTTTTAGGAAACTAACTCAGGGCCACCATTTCAAACCCCTCTCTCTCTCTCTCTACGGAGGAAGTATCCCACTGAAATTGGAAACAAAAGGAGTCCATATAACGCGCCTGAGAAAAACAACGGCTTGAAATTAATACGAGGTCCCACGTTCTAGAACTTAGGTCACGTGTAGGAATCTCAACCCCTAATCACGCTTTAAGATTTACTGGAGATCTTCTAGAAGACTAACTTCGCTAGTAGCTTTCGAAGGGAAACCGACAAAACTAGGCATTATTCATTGACAAGCAATTCATTCACTAATTCTTGTTCTTATCTTGATATATTATTCTGCATGGACTCCCAAATTTGAGGATGCTTTCAAAGAGTGGAAGTGGGAAAATTTTATATATGATGAAAATGACAGCCTACGATCAGAAGTCACTTATTGGACCACAATTGAGAATGAAAATACCACATATTGTATACCAATGCGTACAAAAAGAAGTTCCGTATTTTTACAAGTTGTAATCAAAATTCTTTTGTAAAAAAATCTTTTGTAAAAAATAGTCAAGAATCCACTTTCTCAATCATAATCGTGTAGTATTTTGGGCATAAATGTGGTTCATTCTAATTTAGTGCTAATCATATCTTTCTGATTTCTGTTTATTCGCGCTTTCATTCAAGCCATTGCAAATAGTTTATTTAGTGCAATAAGATGTCAAGAAAACAACATGACGAGGTCTACATGAGTAATAAAATGAAATTATCAATTGTGAGCGCTGTGATAACTTATTTAATAAAAAAAACTATCAGTCCATGCTATATTTTCTTGCACAAAATACTATGTAGAGCATGTTTTTTTTTTTTTTTTGCTACGTTAGAGTATAATCCATTTGGCTTATATCTCAGTTTATATTATGTGGCACCATCCCCACCAAGGTAAATTCTCTCTCCTACTTTATTCTCATGGTGGGGATTGTGCCACATAGGAGTCAAAGAGGGAAATTCCCTCATTGATAAGGATATTCATTAATCTCATATATATATATATATATTGCTATATTTTCTTGCACAAAATACTATGTAGAGCATGTTTTTTTTTTTTTTTTGCTACGTTAGAGTATAATCCATTTGGCTTATATCTCAGTTTATATTATGTGGCACCATCCCCACCAAGGTAAATTCTCTCTCCTACTTTATTCTCATGGTGGGGATTGTGCCACATAGGAGTCAAAGAGGGAAATTCCCTCATTGATAAGGATATTCATTAATCTCATATATATATATATATATATATACACAGAGAGAGAGAAGGGGAGA